ACTCCCGAGCCTCAATAACGTTTGAACAGTTAAAGACCTTATTCACTTCTGCTCCTATCCTGAAGCACCCAGATCCTACCTTAGCTTATGTCCTTGAAGTAGACGCTTCTGAAGATGCTGTTGGAGCCATATTGTCGCAACAACAGGGACTCAAATCTTTCCTTCACCCTTTTACCTTTTTCTCTAGAAAGTTAAGCTCCCCTGAAAGGAACTAAGACGTGGGAGACAGGGAGCTGTTAGCCATCAAGGCGGCACTTGAGAAATGACGCTACTTGCTGGAGTGAGCTTCCCACCCTATCCTCATCTTTACGGATCACAAGAACCTAGAGTACTTGAGAACTGCAAAATGCCTAAGGCCACGGCAGGCAAGATGGGCACTGTTCTTCTCCCGCTTTGTGTTTCACTTGACATACTGTCCAGGATCAAAGAACGGCAAGCCCGATGCGCTCTCACACATGTTTCATGACCCAATTGTACCATCCAAACCTGATACGATCCTGCCAGCTAAAATCTTTTTACTCCTACAAACAGTTCTTGTAGCACAAATCATCCACCTCCCTTGGAAATGCATCTTCAGCTAAGAGACGGTCTGTATCTTCACAAAAAACAGATTTATATACCAGAACAACTCAGAACTCTCATTTCTTAAAAGATGTCATGATCATCCTTTAGCTGGTCACTTCGGGATCCAGAAGACTTCAAATTTGGTCTCCCGTTCCTTCTGGTGGCCAAATTTAATGAAGGATTGTAAGATCATGTTAGATCTTGCTCAGTATGTCTCTGAAACAAGTCTGATAAAGCCAAAACCTGGGGCCTGTTGGAATCTCTGCCAGTACCTGAAAAGCCATGGAGTATGATTTCTCTGGATTTTGATCGTCTATCAAAAATGGCCCACTTCATTCCCCTGAGAGGGACTCCTTCTGCCGCTGTGACTGCTTCTGCTTTTATTAAAGAAATAGTGAGATTACATGGTGTTCCTAGCAATATCGTGTCTGATCGGGGAGTGCAGTTCACTTCTAAGTTCTGGAAAGCTCTGTGTGAGGCACTAGAGATTGAACTTCGCTTTTCCTCTGCGTATCATCCGCAAACAAATGGACAAACTGAGAGGACAAACCAGACCCTTGAACAATACTTACGATGTTTCTCATCTTATTAACAGGAAGACTGGGTGTCTCTCCTTCCATTAGCTGAATTTGCATATAACAATTCCATCCACTCTGCTACCAAACAGTCCCCTTTTTACTCCAACTATGGATATCATCCTTCCTTCCTCCCCTGAAATACTGGTGGAACCCGCTGTCCCGAAAGTACAAGAAAGGTTGGATTTCCTCAGTAGGAACGGCCAAATGCTACAAAAAACTATTTTAGAGGCTCAAGCAAGTAACAAAAAATTTTCTGACAGAAAAAGGAGGGGGAATCTAAATCTGAAACCAGGAGATAAGATCTGGTTGTCTACTACAAATCTGAAATTGAGCTCTTCTTCAAAGAAGCTTGGTCCGAGGTACCTGGGATCATTTACAATTAGGACAAAGGATTAACCCTGTGGCTTTTGAATTAATGCTACCAATGAATATGAAGATCCATCCGGTATGTCTCCCTATTAAAACCAACAGTACCAAGTTTATTTCCGGGTCGAGATCCGGAAAAACTCCTGCTCCGCTGCTGGTCGAAGATAATGAAGAATATGTGGTGGAGGCTATCCTGGATTGTAGAAAGAGGGTGGTCAGACCCAGTTCCCCATCAAATGGAAAGGCTACAGTCCAGAGGATAATTCCTGGGAACCATCTGCTAATGTCCATGCTCCACGATTAGGTTGAGCTTACCTTCATCTTCATCCTGAAAAGCTTTAGTAGGCATCCGGAGGCTGCCCCTAATGGGTGGCAATGTAAGGGAATCCCGGTGAGACGATTGGTAAATAGAAGTGCGCATGCGCACAGAAATGCGCGATTGTGCACAGGCACGCGCACACGCATGGTGAAGATTGGCACCAGATGGACTATTTAAAAGGTGCATCTGCCTGTGCTGAGTGCTGATTGGTCTTCAGCTCCCCCGTGTTCTGCTTGTTCCTGTGTGATTTCCTTGTTGCTGACCCGGCTTGTTCTTGACCTGACTCTGATTACTCTCCTGCTTGATACTGGTTCCTGACTTCGGCTCTGCTCCTGACTTTGGCTTGCTTATGATTTGGTACCTCGCTGTCCGCCCGTTGATGACCCCGGCTATTCCTATGACATTGCTCCTGTCTCCCATCCCATCTTCTTGCCTTGCTCTGGTGCACACCTGGCAACCTACCATACCAGCCCTGCATATTACTACTGTTCCTGAATCGGAGGTTCATCAGTCTTCCAAAATCTCCAGCTGCAAGAGCTGCAAACAACATCTGCTGGCGCTCTTGTCCCCCTGGTCCCTAGACACCCTCTGTTCCACTTCCAGTGGGGTCAGGGCTAGTGACACAAGTGAGGCCGAACTCGTAATTTCAGTCTCCAATCAGGTACGTGACAGTGCGGCATGTTTTCACATTTTCAGATTTCCCCTTTCTCATCTTCTAATGTTGGGTGGTATGGATAATAGGTGAACACACCCTCTCACACCTTATTAATAAAATGTAGTAGAGAGAGAGTGGAGACTGGACACTGGCCAAACAGTCCCCAGTGAACAGCCAGGAGGCTAAAGTTCTATGTTGTAATATTATGTTCTAATAACCTCTACAAGAGTGGAATGTGATTTTAGTATGTTCTGCAGGCAAGTCAAAACAGGGAGACTGCCCCTGTGCCTCCCGGGTGCATGAAAATGTTGGGACTGGACATGCAGGGGATGCATAAGGCATGATCAGTTATATTGTTCTCAGTTATCTTTACGGACTACATATCCACCATCTCTATGCTATGGAGACAAACAGAGGGGAGCTTTCTGTAGTATTGTTTGTTTCAGTTCTGACACAGTACAGTGAGTGTTGTCACTCTTGGACAGGAAATGCTTTTCTTGCAGGATCACCAAGTAAAGGAAAAAAATCTCAGAAAGTAAAAACAACTACAGCTGCCACATCTGAGAACTGGTAAACTGCAGCATATTACATTTTTGTTTTTTGGTTATATATTTTAAATCTGGGTTCCACTCCTCAACAATGCACTTAATCAACATTTTTGGGGTTTTTTCTCATTTAATGCAGAAATTGGAGCATGGTCACTTAGCCAATCAGTATTGAGAAACTAGACAAGTTAATTTTCAACTCCCGAAAATATTGTCTAAACAGCGTTGTTAAATGATAACTTGCTCTAACAGATCATTTTACTATATGAGTAGAACCAATGGTTCAGCTAAGCAAATAGCAGCTGGCTCCAGGACAAAATACAATTGGGCGGTCCCTGACAAGCCCCTCACACCACTACCTAGTACAGGGCACATATACTTGTAGGTTCTCTGTTCATCGGTGTCCCTCGACATCCAAGAAGGATGGCACATCACTACTCCGGACCATTGAAGGTAGGATCAAAGAGATAAATATGAGACTGCTAGGTAATAATGAATTAATCAAATGCATTTAAATGACTGATTCACCCAAAACTGAAATTTGATGATAGGTGGAATCACCTGCGACTCCAACAAAGAGATCTCCCAACCAGAGTTCAGGACTGTACTTCCCTGACTTCAAGTCTAAAGCTGACCATAGATGGCTAGAAAATCAAATGAAAAATCGAGTAGATTGCATAGTTAGTATGCTTACAGAGACAGTTGATTTACTAAAGGCAGATAGATTGGGCACTTTGCAATTGCTCCAGAGCTTAGTAAATAAGCAGAAGCTCTGCTGACTTCCATCGTCCAATCTTGTGCAAGCAAAAATGCTGTTTTTTATTTTCCTTGCATGTGATCGGGTATTCTTTGCAAAGCAAAGCTTTATCTCATTTACTAAGATCTGGAGCAACTGCACTTTGCAAGTCTATTTGCCTCCTGTAAATCAACCCTATGTTTAATGTTGAAAACAGAAAAAAAGTTCAAGTTCTCTGGAAATTTTTTTTATAACAATGAAAGGGCCATCAGATATTAGATTGAAAAACATTATTTTTGTTTGAATTTGTGCTCATTTTTGGTCAGTTTCAAGGTGGGTGTACACTAGTAGAATTACGATCAAACATTTGTGCGAAATTTCTTAGAACGCTTAAAAAGATTGTTATCTTTTAACATCCTATTAACATCCTATTTTGGAACGAATTAACTTTACTGAATGAAATCTACATACACTGTTGGAAATTTCCATTCTGCTCCTTTGAATTTTCTCATCACTGCAGTCAAAAACGATTGCCGATTTGGTCCCACTAAATGAATGAACGTTCCCATGCGGTTCTTCTAACGAAAAATGCAGAATTAAACTCTACTAATGTATATCCAGCTTCACTTTTCCTGCTGCAGCAGAGGGAGTTTAGTAACAGACGGTGAGAGATCTAACTAGAAATTTTTGGATTGCAAGGGAAACTAGGGCAACATTAACACCTGATTATGCTCAGTGTTTCCTTGCAGCACCCCTACGGCATCAGAAGGGGGTTTTCATTGCTATGGAGGAAAAAAGAACAATTGAAGAACAGAACAATCCAAGATGTATTTTAGCAGCTTCTTGGCTGTCCTGCTTTAGCTACTATTAGCCAGTGACTGGCAACAAAAATGCTGGATCGCTCTTCTTGCTTCACTGGGTGCATGCTTGTTCAGTGCCAGTAGCCTATTCAGTATTGAAGCCATAGGATAAGCATGACAGTTCACTAGTAGCTAACCCTGTAGTCAATTATACTGGCGGATCTATAGCAAGAGTGACTGGTAGTAAGATGTTCTGCTTCTTGGCAATGGAATATCACTGCATTCTATTCAGTATTTGTATGCAAGTGTGGCATGCATGGGAGCTCCTGCCTATGTAAGTGTTGAGTAGGACCGATTTGGAGCTTACTGATTGGCTCTTTGCATTGTTCCCAAAGGCAAATTGTGAGAGGTTACAGGCAGGGGCGGACTGACAACTCATGGGGCCCCCGGGCAATAGGGGATCATGGGGCCCCTGTGTCCTTGCCCAAACTCAAAAAAGCCTATGAAAAAGGTACCAGGGGCATCTCATGGGGCCCCCTACTGACCCCGGGCCCTGGGGCAGTGCCCGAGTTTCCAAATGGTCAGTCCGCCCCTGGTTACAGGGAAAGGAGGTACAAGATGCTGTGGAAGCCTCTTTAAACCTGTGAAATGAAAAATAAATAAAGCATATCCTTTTATAGTATGTGCTTCCCTCTATCCAAAGTATCAAGTGCGATATGTGTCTCCTCTGCCCTAACAACCCCCCCCCCCCCCCCCCCTTGAGCACACAGCAAGTTACAATACATGGTTACATATTTAGTCTGGCTGAAAAATGACAAAAGTCCATCCAGTTCAACCATATATATATATATATATATATATATATATATATGAAAAAAAAATTATAATCCTACACCTACAGTTGATCCAGAGGAAGGCAGAAAAAACCAGCAAAGCATGATCCAATTTGCTCCTGCAGGGGAAAAACATCCTTCCTGATCCTCCGAGAGGTTATTGACAGCTGCAGCTGTATATGTTTCCCTATGAAACTGTGTGTAGAGGGGGGTATGCCCATTCCCTTCACTCAGGTTTCAGATTACACTCAGTTCCATGCTCTATGTTATTAAGTATGTGACTTAAGAACCCCAGACACCCCTTTGTTCAGGTACAACACATGAAGGACAGTTTGTTTTATCCCTCTGTATCACTTGGGTCCGGTCATTTAACTGGGTATAGGTAATAGCTTACAGCCACTTTAATTCCTAGCAAAACCCTGGATATAAACCTGATCCTTACCCTGAAATTTGAAACTGAAGAATAAAGTATATGTAAACCCTCACCTTGTAAAACAAACCATTCAGTTTAAAATAGAAATGAAAAGCAAATCATTTGTGTATAGATATAAAAATAAATTATAAATATATTTTCCCCCTTTTTTATAAGTGACTACATACCCTCAGCTGCATAAGAACTGGGGAAGGAGAAACAGCAGTACACAGGTCTTCCAAGTGAATGGCTGTGCAGGGGGGAGCATGTCAGGACAAGTTTGATCATTAGAGGAGAGCAGGCTGAGTTCCCAGCACACCCAAAAAAAACTAACCATGCTGTGCTCTCATGCCTAGTGTGGTCAGTGTTTAATAAGAAAGCAGAGGGACTGGTGGGAACACCAGGGATTTCACACAAAGGAAGCAATAAAAAGAGAACAGGATATTTTTTCATACAGGTACATGGTACAGCAGGCACATATCAAGAATATGAAATATTGGTTTTACATATTTTTAATCTGCCTATATTTTGTTATCAGTGATTCATACCTACCCCCTATCAAAATGCTAATGACAGTTTTAAAAACTTTTCCATTTTGATTACATACATAAAATGGCTGAATGACCATTTTACTTGGCAGGATCACACCACAACTTCGAGCTCATAGTTGCACTGCAGCCCTACTGATCTCAATGGGTGAGTTTGACAGGCGATGCTAATAATTGTTAATGCCACCCCAACCGTGGTTAGCAGATGCATGTTTTGCCCATGACAAATGTGATACAAATGAGCGTTAAGAAAACGCACTACGCTCCACACCTGAATAAAATTTTGTTGCCTTTTTGGCACGTGCCGTGCATAGGATCAGCCCTATGTGCGTTCTGTGAAAACGTGCAGAGGAACACAGGTTCCCGCTACGCTAGATGTGAATGTGGTCTTTTGGTATGATCACTAGGCAGGGGCGGACTGACAACTCATGGGGCCCCCGGGCAATAGGGGATCATGGGGCCCCTGTGTCCTTGCCCAAACTCAAAAAAGCCTATGAAAAAGGTACCAGGGGCATCTCATGGGGCCCCCTACTGACCCGGGCCCTGGGGCAGTGCCTGAGTTTCCAAATGGTCAGTCCGCCCCTGTCACTAGGTATTGTTTTTCATGAAAGTTACATATCTAAAGCTCTTTAAAGTTAATTTGGAATTTGCATTAACATGTTGAATCTTTGTGAGATTTTAGTGCCTGGGTTTACATTGACCTTGATATCTTTTAGGACTCAGATGTGGAATTTGCACGCACTGGCTATGGGAAGAACGCAGTGAAAGTTCTCCAGATTAAAAGAGAAGGAAATGGACATTTTATTAAAGAAATTGAGGCTTCTGTTCAGCTCACTCTCCAGTCAAAGAAGGATTATTTATATGGGGATAATTCTGACATCATCCCAACAGACACAGTGAAGAACACCATCTACGCTCTAGCCAAATTTAAAGGGGTAATTATCTTGATCCTTCTTCATACTGACTTCAGAAATGTTCAAAATGAAGTAATACTTAATATAAAGTAAACTTTTGTTAAAGAAAGATATGATGATGTGATTGCTGCTGATTTTTGTATTGTGAAAATGCTAGTTGCCTGGCTGTTATGATGACCCTCTAGTTTCAATACATTTTCAGACACTGATCTGTACCAAGTGTGCAGATTAAACAAGTCACAGATCCTTATTTGGATACTTTCAAACATCTGAAAGGTAACAAGTACTTGCAGAATGAGAAGTCATCAAGGGTAACCCCAATGTTGTTGAGTTTATCTTGTAGACTATATCTTCCAGAAAAAGCTTCCTTTGAGGTGAAAAAAGTATTAGGGTTAAAGGTTAACTCCATCTTTAAAAAAAAAATAAGGCCCAGCAAGTATGAAAATAAAAAAGCAGCACTGGCTGCAGTACCTTCATTCCTGGAGCTGCCCCCTGCATTACTTCTTGTCATAACTTTTGGGGGCGTCTCACCACGCTGGCCTGGGCTTACAGTAGTTAGGCTTTTTTTGCATCACTACTACAGTGACTTCTGTTGAGTTCACCTGTGTCACAGAGAGCTGCCCTCACTAAGGGGTTTATTTACTAAAGCTGGACAGTCCAAAATCAGACTCCCTTCTGCATAGAAACCAATCAGCTTCTAACCTCAGCTTGTTCAATGAAGCTTTGGCAATGAAACCTGGAAGCTGATTGGTTTCTATGCAGAAGGGAGTCTGATTTTGGACTCTCCAGCTTTAGTAAATAAACCCCTAAATGTCTGCAAATTATTCTTCACCCTGGTGGCCAGGGCTCCACCAACACTTCAATCTAGTGGCAAAAAGACATACTTGCCAACTGTCCCGGATTTGTCGGGATAGTCTTGATTGTTTTGAATGTGGTTCCGCCATGACTCTGTTCCGTGCTTTGTTCTGGGAATCTGGGATTAGAGTGGGGGATTGGGGGAACAGCAGCAAATGGGACTCACTGGGACTTAATTCAAGGGACTAACAATAACTAAATAAGTGGGATTATTATTGCAGTAAATAGGCTGTCCCAGATGTGTCCAATTGATAGTTGTTCTGTTTACAGAGCACAAAGCCGTCCATGGTGAAATATGATGAAACACAGGCAGATATTATAGATAATACTGTAAACTTAGCACATTAAACATATGTATTCATTATTTAACTACTTCTGATGAAAGAATTTTGAGCAAGATGGTATATTTGAAGGTTAACAGAGGAATTACTACTTTCCCTGGTCTTGACCCTTTTCTTCTCTTACAAAAGGAAATATGTTGAAAAACGAGTTGCCTTGTAAGTTAGTTTGCATAAAGGTATATGGTCACCTTGTATACTGAATCTATATATTGGCTTTAGATAAAAACCATTGAGGACTTCTCTCTGGAACTTTGTAATCATTTCCTGACGTCATTCAACCATGTTACAGAAGCAAGAACTTACATCGAAGAAGCCCCCTGGAGACGCATTGAAAAGGTATCTAGATAGCCTATGCCTGAATTATGTAATTGGGTAAACGGTCCAACATGACCTATATCACCCATTCAGATGCCACTACTCATAAACCAGTACTTAATTTTTGCTAGCAAGTTGATTTATTTCAGCATTTGTGTGATCAGGTGTTAATACTTGGGGGACAATTTATACCAAAACCAAATGAAACAATACTGTTTAGATGTCCCAGATTCATTATCCCAGCCTACTGGCCTTACCGCTTGCAGGTGCTGGTTGGGCTGAATACCAGTTTATCAAGGCACATTCAATGCTACATCAAAATGGTGCCCATCTGAATACAGTCTGAGCATACAGTGAACCTCACCATGATGGAAATTGGCCTCAGCTTAGTCCAGTGATGTAAGGTTCACTGTATGCTCAGAATGTGTGGTACCATTTTATTGTAGAAAGTAGATATTGATATACTCCATTTATAAAATGCTGGCCACTCTGAAGAAGTTGATGTAACAGAGAGAACTCTGTGATTGGAGAGAGATACGGTAGTCATGTGATTTGACAGATCATGTGACTGGACTCTACTCCAGGCTTTTCTTTTGTCTCTGCTCTATTTAGTTTCCATTGGGCTCCACCAGCTTTGGATTCGCAAAACCAGCAGAGTGCAATGCATATTTGTACAGCATATTGCAGGGATTTATAAATGTGTGGTATTTTGTGTTTTTTTTAAGCCAGGTGGTCAGTGGACCCCTTGGTGATCAGCACAAGGGTATAGATTTAAATCAGAATTAGGGCCCTACTGCGGCTTGAAGAAAAAAAACAGCTGCACATTTAAAAACCACAGTGCTGTGCAAAAAGTTCCGGAGGAGACAGGAAATGCCCACATTCTCTATGCAAATGGTTTACTGAGCAAAAACAAGTTTGATCAAATTTGGTCACATCAGGAAGTAACAAGAATTCAGTGATAAAGTATGTTGTAGAAGGAAGGGCTGTCTGCACTTATTAGAGAGGAACTGAATAGATGGGAATAGGGATGTGGCCTAGATTACTGTATAGTAGATGTTTACCCTAATTGGATGACATTTAGTTTTCTATTGCGCCTTTTTATATTCTTTTTTGCATTGTATATATGCAGGGCCCCTGATTCACCACCAGCAACAGCCATGCTGGCCAAGGGCCCCATCCACCAGCCTCCTGTTTAGGGACATTACACACACCTGTAGTGTGGAGAAACCACAATCTTTGATCACCCACATTCTCAAAGCCTAAGGACCACCTCCTGTGCACACATTCAGCCTTTCAATGATTTTTACTGTAGCTTTTTAAGGGGGCTTCTGATTGGCTGTGTGTTGGCACCAAACTGTGCAAGCCCACATCTCCTTGGATAGGACAGCTACCAACCTGCTGGTGAATGAAGCCCTTTGCCATATTGTGTCAAACTCTTGGCCATAGGCCCGCCCATGACATCCATAGCCATAGGCTTTAATATTCAAGAATATTCAGGAGATATAAAGGATAATAAAGGAATATCCACACATAAAATATATTGTCAACACGGCACTGTAACTTCTCAAAGATGGCCGTGACATCTAAAATTACGTTGACATACTAACAGAATTCTTTGTAGCGGAATGTCATGCACAGGAATATTTGCTCAGTAGCTGTTACTTGAGCGCAGAACACCAGCACATAATCTGTAAGCCATCTTCCATTACCACCTCCTCTCCTTGGGAGCATCTTGGGCTGGAACCACTTTCCCCTTGTATATGAAGCCTACAGCATTCAATTTTAATCACGGAGTGTAATCAAGGTGTCCTCATTAATACTCCAGTCTCCCTCAATGTCCCTTCCATAGTTTTGGCACCTCTGGCCTAAAAAAGTCTTTTGCGTCCCGCTGGACCATGACTGGTAGTCTTTCAAAGAAAGCTGTATATTTGAAAAGAGTTAAAGGGGATTTTAGTGATCATGATTGGATTTACTTTAAAAATAAGATGACTTGTCTCTGTATTATGTCATTGAAAAACATTCCAATAGTCACAGAGGAAACAAGACTTTAAATACAAAGGCTACAGACCATGTGTGACATTTATGAGTTTTGTTGCACAGCAAGGTATTGTAAACAGTACAGGAGCAGTAATTGGAGCAGAATCCTTTGGCCTGGGGAGCAGATACAACCAAGTGGTCCTTTCTGTGGGCTGAAGAAGGTGAACCATTGAAAGTGTGCCATGTGTCACCTGCAGATTCTGATCTGATTGTGTTTGAATGCATGAAGTATCTTCAAAAGCAGTGTCCACCATGTCCTCATGGACAAACTGCAGGATTTTGATCTGTGGATTAGTGAAACTGTTGTGAAAGATGAAGTCCATGAGGACTGGAGTTCTGACTTAGAGGAAGCAATCCATTATATCTTACCAGTAGTGGCCCACAGGGCAAATACCTCCCTGCTCCCCAGCTCAGTCCCCTCTTGGAAGTAAGACAGATTTTCTCGTACCAATATAAAACCTGCCCCCTGACCATGTCTTAAAGCAGAACCAAACCTGCCTCCTTGCACTACTTTGACTTCTTCAGTCTTCTTTCAAGCTCAGGATCCTTGGCCATCTTGATTGGCTGGACCAGAATGATGTGACTTTCACGCATGTGCACAGGGGTTCATTCTAGCCTTGAGGGGTGTTTAGTTTTGCTTTAATTGTCCTGTGTTTTGAGTAAAAATTTGCCTCATCTACATCTCTCACAGACCGTTGCAAAATCATCTTAGTTGGCTGGCCCAAGAATTCTGGCAATGAAGTAGCAAAATTCACTTCTTATATACTTTGCTGTATGAGTGGCAGCCTGTTTTGCAATGCATATGTGTCTAAGGCCTCATGCACACAAGCTGTTTAGCCTATGTGCTTCAAATCCCTCCATTTTCGGGCACCTGGGAGGCACAGGTGCAACGTTCAGCCCAATTATCAGCAGCCTGTCAAATCTATGACAAGGTAAAATCTGCAATGACTAGATGCCATGTCAAGCGGTACTCACCTTTAGAGTCATATACATTCAGTGCTGTTTGCTCAGAATGCAGGAATTCTGCATTAGAGGTATGTATCCCTGAAAGCACATGTCCTGATCATACCGCTCAGCATATCATTCAGTATCCAGCCACTGTGTATTTCAGCCTGTCATAGATTTTGACAGGCTGCTGGTACCGGGGTTGGACGCTGCACCTGTGCCTCCCAGGCCCCCCAAAATACCAGGATTTGATGGTGACAGGCCAAATAGCCCATGTACATATAGCCTATTGCTGTGACTTATTTGCTTGATAAGCATCCTTCTTGTGTTTCTCCAACCTTGTTACACACAACCATAGAACTGACGCTTGTCACGTTAAACATGATTTGCTGTCTCTGCTGTGTTGTAGGATGGGGTGCAGCATGTTCATGCATTTATCTATTCATCGGAAGGTGTTCATTTTTGTGAAGTGGAACAAAAGCGCGGAGGTAAGCTGATTTGTTTCTTTTTTTTTATGTACCTTGCTGTAAATTGTAATTATTTTATATTGCAGTGCACAATAACAATAGAATGATTCATATTACATTGTACGTACATAAGCACCTTAGAACTGACATCTTTTAGAGCATCTTTTTTTTGCGTTTTTAGAGGATGAATAAAAATAATGTAATTCTGTGTCATTCTACTGGAAAGTGTCCATTTCTGTTTTTATTTGTTTTATGCATTGATAAAATTAAACATTCTGCATCATTTGGCAGAGTACATCATTTATGTCCCCCAAAAAAACTTGCAGGGGTTTCTAGGACTCCGGACATCCATCGAGCCCCTTGGTTGCTTTTTGGATGATCTGACTCTTGTTGCATGATATGTCCCAACTCTACTTTTGCTGGATAGTTTTGTCCACATTAAAATGTGGAGAAAGACACATGGAAGCCTTTGAGAAGCTTTTAAACATGGAGGAACCCTTAATATAACTTTTTAGCTCCAGGGCACCCATGCTAATAATTATTAGATTTACAGCTCACAGTACATAAGTGTGATGGTCAGGGGGAGAATGCTCCTTACATTTGTGGGCATTAGGAATAATCCTCTACTTACAGATAGCTAAAAAAGATCATTGGTGTCAGGGGTTACTCATCTGAGAGGCAGAAATCGCTTATTGTTCAACGCACCTTTAGCAAGCTCTGGAGGAACCATAGGGTTTCCAGAAAACCTTTTTTTTTTTTGCTATAGTGTAAAGGACAACTACAACTTACTAAGTTTACTCATGGTGTTTACGCCTTCCTTAGTAAGCTGCTAGCAGAATCAGGTAAGTTTAGTTTTTGGTTCCTCCAGTGGAGCAGAGTTCGATTGCTTTTGTCTGTTCTGGGTTCTGCTGGTTGCAGGCCTAACTACTTCCCCCTGTATTCTACTAAGTTCTGGAATACAGTGGGCTGGAAGAGGCAGACCCTTGGCTGAATATACAAACAGCCTCAGCCGATCCCTGGTCAAGAAAGTGACCAGCAGGGGGATGAGGTATATGTATAATCGGGGGCTTGGAACAGGGTCCTTGTCATTTTGGAAGAGACCCAGTCTGGATAGGCTGCTACCCTCCTGGGCAGATTATCTGAAAACTGCAGGAGGTTCAACCAGGTCCCAGCTCAAGGACAGCTGGGGGGCCTATATTTAAGCAGGTGAGAGCAGTTGTGGAGAATGTCTGCTGAGGATCTGGCCTGGAGGCTCATGGTACAGGGTCCAGCTGGTACTGGAGGGAGGCATCCATGTACACAGGGACAAAGTGAGTAGAGGCCTGTGAGAGATCCTAGAGAGACTGTTGCTGCTCAGTCCTAGAGAGACTGTTCCAGAGTTGCTGGCTCAGGGCTGTTCCCAAGGTGGGAGTCCCCTAAGCTGTATGCCCACTACCTCCTATTACAAAAGGTCTAACCTCATGAGTTTAGCTACTACCTAGAGAGTCCTTTGTTTGCACTAAATTTGGAGTATTGCAAGGCTCACCCTACACCCCAACAAAGGTTAATCTGCATTACACTTTAAAAAGACACTTGCCGCCTGGTTGTTTCTGTGACTGGGGAATTATTGTGTGCTTGACTGCTTGCACCCACTCAGGAATAGAACTTGGGGCTAACAGCAGCACCTGTGAGGGTCAGTGCACTACAGTAGTATAAAGGGGGGACTGCTAGGACCTTATTGAAAGTAACATTGCTGGAACAGAGTTGAAAGTAAATATAGGACTAGGCTGCCTGTAATCAGCACTGTGGGGGTATTTATTACAAGAAAACCTCACCAACGGCAATGTCCTTTAAATTGCAAGCAGTCAGTAAGAGCTTTCTAACTGTAACAGTGTAGTTGTTGCATAGAGCATTCCAGCTGCAGTGTGACCAGTTTTGAAGTGGAAGATGTTGGCCATTTAGGCGTTCTATTCAAACACATGAAATTGTAAAAGCATAAATTAGCAAGTACCTTTCAATTTCCTTACCATCTACCTGTAAACTAACCAATGCAAATCTCTCAACAAACAGCAACAGCATTTTCACCTATTCATAGGTGACCAGGAGAGGCATGGGTGAAGCTCCAAGTTAAAGACATCATAATACCTTAAGGTTTGGGAGGATGCCTTGGGTGCTCAGGAAGGGTTTGAGGGCACAAAGTTAGTAAATAACATTATTGTTCTATAAATAATGCAATATTTACAAGTTTGCTCTAAGCCTTTCATGGGGTACTTTGGCTGCTCCATCAACAAGCTACCCATGTGTTGAAGAATTCATGGCCGGCCAAAGCAATGCAGTGAATGGATATAGAGGACACAATGCATAGGCAAGTCTTGGAGATGCTTCTAGGGCAGCCTTTCTCAGCTTTTTTTCACATAATGGAACCTTTGAAAGAACCTTCAGGAATAAATCAGGGAACCCTTGGAACCCAGGGAACCCTTGTCAAAAATGAATATACCCACAGCTCACAGTACATTAGCATGGCGGCCATTGGGAAGAATTCCATTCTTTACAGATAGCTAAAAAAAAGATCATTGATGTCATTGGCAACTTACCAGAGAGGCAGATATTGCTCATTGCATTGTGAACCCTAACAACTTCTAGAGGAACCCTGAGGTTGAGAAAGTTTGTTCTAGGGAATGATCTTGAGGATGTATAAGCTAAACTACAACCTCCTCTAGGTATTCTGTGCAGAGATGGAAAGCAAATCCAACCGTAAAGGGCAGGCACCTATGGTTTGGGCAATAGTAAGCCAAATCTAATATAATCCAGCTAGCCAAATCTAATATTGCCAAGCTGCACTTAAAATTCTAATGACTAATAATGTGTATTCTGTGTACCTTTCACCCAAGTTGTGGTTATTCAGCAAAGATCAGAATAAACAACCCAGAGGACAGAACACACAGGGACCATAACACCGAATGTGGGTCAGAAGTACAGAGGTAATAAGTAACAGGTTCAGGAACTGGAACAACTTCCATGAACAGAGCACCTGATCACAGAAATAGTAACTAAACTGGTACCTCCTAGATATATAGTAGCCCATGAGTTTAGAAAGGATTATGGGAAGTATTGGGCTTTATGTCACAGTTATTACAGTAACCAATATGAATTTTACTGTATTTATCAGAGCCGCAGTTATTATATTAGCAGCAGTTATTGTGGCTGTTTGGCCTCATGCACACAGGGTTTAAAAAACACCAGTTTTAAAGGCGTTTGGCGGTTTTTTTTTTCACCTTTATGTTACCCTATGTGTCCATGCACACATAGGTATTTATAGGCATATTTTAAAAAAATCATTTACAGACTGAAAACAAAAAACCACGAAGTGTATTCAGGAGAGGAGCTGAAAATTAGAGAAAAGCTAGACATGCCTAAACATGTGTAAATGTGTCTTAATGCTAGATGTGTTTAGGTGCATTTGAGTGTTAATGCATTCCAATGGCGTGAATAAATTCACATTCTGGCAAGTGGATTCCATTTACGGGGGCATTAGCCTTGTTTTCTCTACAGATTTTCTCCTGCCAGGAGAAAAGGCGTTCAGGGGGTTAAATGGACGTCCTATGTGCATAAATCCTAATCAGTTACTGTGCCCATTAATGGCATAATTAATTACAGGATGTAATGTTGCAGTTGCCTTAATCATCAGAATGTCAAACAAACAATGAAATACACTTATGTGAATTGTGTTGTCTGTCAGGGAATTTGTAGTCTGTCCAGTTACCTTTGTAATTCAAACAACTCTGCCATCCAGGATGGTGACGTCACCTAGAATTTAAGCAGCCCTTGCACCAAAATGCAAAAAATGGCCTACACCCCACCCTATGTAAAAATTCTGCATTCCACATTTAAAAAAAAGCATCCATTGGGAAAGTTAGAAAATATACTTTTGCCAGCAATGCCTATGTGAGAGTGATGTACAGTAACAGTCCTTCCCAAGGGTGGACTGACCATTTGGAAACTTGGGCAGTGCCCGAGGGCCCGGGGTCAGTAGGGGGCCCCATGAGATGCCCCTGGTACCTTTTTCATAGGCTTTTTTGAGTTTGGGCAAGGACACAGGGGCCCCATGATCCCCTATTGCCCGGGGGCCCCATGAGTTGTCAGTCCGCCCTGGTCCTTCCACTGATGTCCTGGGAATGCTGAGGATCATATATAGCTCGTGAGATGTTGCAAATACACTGTTTTAGAGTCTTGTCCTGAATTTTGCAGGAAGGACTGTGATGTCACCTTTTCTGGAGCAGAATCCGGGTGTAAGGTAAGTATTTTAACTTGGTACTAGGTCTGCTTTCAGGAATGTAGGGGTGTCACCTCTGTACCCCCCACCTGCTGCCTGGACAATGCAAGGGCAGGCAACACACCAATAAGTCACCAGCTTTGCTCATTCTGCTATCTTCCACCTCCAGCACATGTGCATGCTGCAGAACCTGATTGAGTCTTATTGCTGCCCCTTCCTCTTCCAGACTAATTGCTGTTGTGTAGATGATGACAGGAGACTGATGTCAAGCCAGATTCGGGTACACATTCTAGTTGTATATCAAATACATTTTTCTTTACATTCTTAACTCATTTAGTAGTACTAAAGGCAATTTTTTCTTTTTTTTTACAACAACTCCTCAATCATTTGCATACTACATTAAAGTAAACAATTCCTAGAGATTATGAAAACCATTACTAGTTGATCATTGCCCTTCTTGTATCTCTTGGCTTCTGTGTGCTGCTTTCCTGAACATCCTGTTGGGAAATGCACACACCTGGGCTTATTTTCTTAGAGAATAGGTGCAGGTACTCCCCGTTTCCAAGTCATGCCTTGTCTCCACCCCCTAACCACCTCCCAGTATTGCCCCTTTTAGAAATTACAGGGCCAAGTATCATTTTGTAGTGCAAAGTAATTTGTATGGAATTTGTTAATGATAATAAGAAAAAATAAAATAAGTCCCCTGCAGCCAGTAACAATACACATTTCTAGCAAAAATAGACCCCCCCCGCAACAAAACACCCCTTAGTAACAATAGATCAAATCCACTCCAGCAATAATAGATCCCAGCAACTTGCAACAATAGACCTTTCCCTCAACAGTAGACCCCCCCAGCAAAAATTGACTCCCTTAGCAACAATAGACCTCCCCAGAACATTAGGTCCCCCCATCAACAATAGATCTCCCAGCAGCCAGCAACAATAGACACTCCAGCACATCACACCATACCTTACATTACATACATTTAGTGCTGGAAGTGCCAGAACAACGTTCCCCAGCATTCCTGCTGAAAAAAACGCTCTGCCCATTGCCATAATATTAGCATCATTTTGAGGACATGTCCCATCATGCCCAGTGTGAATGTGCATGTTTGACGCCTCTGATACATTTTGAGGACATTGCTTTGGAAGCCACTGTCAATCACTTACTTTGAAGGAGGGGCCAGTGGCAGGACCTTTGTGCCTTCTGTCCTTTTCAAATGTTGGTGTAGGCAACATGCACACATCTTCCTATAGGCTGATCCTGGGAGTCTGCATGAATGGGTGGCCCCATGGAACCCTGAAAGTGAAAGGAGCCACCCAAAAAACAGATATCCGGGTCAGCAATCTTTAATATCACTTTCAATTGGGTTGTATTCATATACGGTACCTGGAATTTATCTTTAATTACATGGCTAATGCAGTCACCAAATGCCACAGTAACTATTCCCAGTGGTAATGCTGTTATTACAGTTATCAAGTCTATGGCCATATACTTTTTAATACCACCAATATTACTAACGATAGAATATTCTTTTATATTCTTTTTCCTGTGTTTCTTTTCTGGCTTGTGTGTAGGTCAGCCAGTGATTCACTCTGGCATCAAAGAACTTCGGGTCTTGAAGACAACGCAGTCTGGGTTTGAAGGTTTTTTAAGGGATCAGTTCACAACACTCCAAGACGCGAGAGACCGCTGCTTCTCCACTGTGGTCAACTGCAAATGGCGATACAACACCAATCAAGGGGTTAACTTTGATTCTAAATGGTGCGTAAAGAGACTTACATGACTGGAACGCAGCAAATGCTCAGTGTTCCTACAGTGGTTTGTAGAAAGGATGTTTAGTAACATAATTTCATAGAAAACCAAAGCTGCCATTTTTGTTGTTTAAAGCCTGAATTTCGTCAAAATTAAAAAAAAAAAAAAAAAATCAGTACAAGGGACAATACTTACCATCAATGTGAAGTGTCTCTTACAGTGGGGAAAATAATTATTTGATCCCATTGCAGATTTTGGTTGCCCACTTACAAAGAAATGAAGGTTCTATAATTTTTACCTTAGGTGTATTTTAAATGATAGAGACAGAGTATCAACCATAAATCTAAAAAAAACACATGATACAAATGTTATAAACTGAGTTGCAGTTCAGTCAGTAAAATAAGTATTTGATCCCCAAGCAAAACATGACTTAGTACTTGGTGGAGAAACCCTTGCTGGCAAGCACAGAGGTAAGACGTTTCTTGTAATTGGTAACCAGGTTTGCACACATCTCAGGAGGGATTTTGGTCCACTCTTCTTTACAGATCTTCTCTAAATCCTTAAGGTTTCTTGACTGTCGCTTGGCAACTCAAAGTTTCAGCTCCCTCCATAAATTTTCTATAGGATTAAGGTCTGGAGACTGGCTAAGCCACTCCATGACCTTAATGTGCTTCTTCTTGAGCCACTCCTTTGTTGCCTTGGCAGTATGTTTTATGTCATTGTCATTCAGAAGACCCATCCACGACCCATCTTCAGTGTTCTGGCTGAGGCAAGAAGGTTCTCATCCAGGATTTTATGATACATGGCCCCATCCATTGGCCCCTCAATGCAGCAAAGTTGGCCTGTACCTTTAGCAGAGAAACAGCCCCAAAGCATAATATTTCCACCTCCGTGCTTGACTGTAGGGATGGTGATCTTAGCTCATAGTCAGCATTTTTCTTCCTACAAGCACGGCGAGTCAATTTAATGTCAAAGAGCTTAAGTTTGGTCTCATCTGACCACAGCACTTTCTCCCAATCCTTCTCTGAATCATTTGGATGTTCATTGCCAAACTTCAGACGGGCGTATACATGTGTCTTCTTGAGGAGGGGGACCTTGAGGATATCTATATATCTATCCAATGTAAATTAGATTAATCATAATTTTATTCAATACAGTTACCTCTTGCTGACCAAGTTACTTCCTGGTGGCTGTGTGATGCATATATGGGGCAGCAAGAAAGATGGGCTTTAACACCTAGCTGCTACACATAAGCATTCATGGTGGCTTAAGGTTGTGTGCTTAGGGGCCCTTTACCACTGATCCATTTTTCATGTATTTTTGGGGTAAAAAAAGCTGAAGAAAAATGCATGAGAAAATGTATCCCTTTAAATCCTATGAAACTCTTCATGCTAATGTGAATACTAGTGTGAATGTGGGTGCAGTGCAAAATCCAGTAAGTTTTTGGTGCATTTCATGCCCAGGTTTCACAGGGGCATGATTGGAGTCAGAAGTTCAGAAAATGGGCAAAAAAAGCATATACATATTTTTTTTTAATGGAGTAGTGTGGATGGACCTTAAAGTGCACTCACAGTGTGTGCCCAGCACACTGACCAAGCCATCATCCAACAGCTCTCAACCATGGCTTGTAATCAGAAGCCATTGGGATGAGCTCTCAATTATGGGACAGATATAAGAGCCACAGCGGTCACATGATGCAGAAACCATGCCACCTTCTGGGCATTAAAGCCCACTTAAAGGAATGTTAAGGGGTTAAAAAAAGGAACCCTGAGCAAAGCTCAAAAAAGCTGAACTCCTGGCAAATGGCTAAGAGATTAGTATTGCTAGACCACGCAGCCCTGTCTGGCAGGGAAGGTGACCTGATTTGTTCATCTGCTTCAGTTAAATTACATTTATAGGTCTTATCCCTTCCCCAGCCTGTGATTGGATAGTGGAAGGAGAAGGAGCAGATTGATGAGCTGATCTCTCTGTCACTCTGCTCTCTCCCCCTCTCTGCATGTTCCTTATTTGCATATAGGCACTGCAGCACAACAGGTAGGCTCCTTGTGGTGTTCTCCTAGTCTGAGCTCTGCTGTATATGAGCTGTATTAATTTGTGTCTTTGCATTCTGCCTGGAATTCAGCTTTTCTGCTGTTCATTACCTGAATATTGGTATTCAATATAATCTTTGTCACTCAAAAGAGGTGATTTTCTATATAATACACAGTAATGTAATGAGTTTATAATTCCTGTCTTTTTTTTTTTTGTATTCTTAAGGCAAACCATGAAGGAAATAATCCTGGATAAATTTGCTGGACCGTATGATAAAGGGGAGTACTCTCCGTCCATCCAGAAGACTCTTTATGACATCCAAATGTTGGGTCTCGGCCGGATTCCAGAGGTATTCTGTCCATAAGTAAAAAAGGGTGTTTACACTGACTTTTCAGAATAAAAAAGCATACCAAATAAGCCCCACCCCCTCTCATAACCACACCTTACCTCATATATTCTATATTAAAGTGGACACGGCAGTAAAATGCATGGTTCACTTACACTGATTGAGCCCCCTCCCCCTATTCCACAAATTTTAATTTTTTTAATGGTGGATCCATGTTTATGCTACCTCAATACTGCATTATTTTTATTTCCAAAAAATTTGGGCAAGGAAATCAGATCACATTAGGGGTAATTTTGAGGGTGTTTGTACCTGGCATTTTTATTTGATGTTTTAGAACAGAAAGTTATAACGTTTTTTTCCAAAATGTTGGCTTTTTTATAGTAATAATATAAAATGATTTTTTTGTACAGAGCATGATTGTCAGTCCAACTATCACAGCACTGAAAACTGATAAGTGGCGTGGTAATGAAGGAGTATTACAAGCTCACACTCAAGAGGTTAACCTGTAACCCATTTTGCAGTCAACACCAATAGTTCCTCTTTTGAGAAAAGCACCTCCCTGCCATTACTTCTGCTTTTTCAATGCAATTAATAGCATTATAAAGAAAAGGACATTGCAGAGACTTGATAAAAATGTATGTTTTCCTTAGAAAAAAAAACTAATATTTTTGTTTGGTTCTATTTATCCCATCTTTAGTCACCGGTCACACTGCAGAGATTTAAAATCATGTGATTTGTGTGCAATTTCAGCGCAATTTCAGGTGCGATTCATGAAGACTTTATTTTGCGACTTGTGAAGATTTTCAATGGTTTCTTGCAATTTCCAGTGCAAGTTTCCATTATATTCTATGTATGTGAAATTGCAACAAAACTGCAGAAAAAAGTAATGCAAGAACTACTTTAGAAATCACGCTGCAGCAAATCGCACGTGTTAAGACACTGATATTCACATTCATTAGAAGCAATTTCAATTCGCAATTCGCACCTGAAATTAGTGGCGCAGTGTCCAGTAACTGAACTCATCATGTGTATTTTGCTTCATTTGTACATCTTTGACAATAGTATTTTTTTTTTCAGATTGAAGAGATTGAAGTTATTTTACCAAACAAGCATTATTTTACTATTGACCTCAGCAAATTTGGCCTAAGCAACCAGGATGAGGTAAATCATCTCAAACTTCAATACTCTTGTGGTTAGAAGTGTAAAATTTATCTGAGTTAGAATTTCTTGATGTAGTTTTCAGGCTTTTGCTTACTTCTTGTTCCATAATTTAATTTGTTTGCACAGAATAAATAATAGCTTCTCTGATATTTTTTAAACAGGTCTTGCTGCCCTCAGACAAGCCCTATGGAAATATCACTGGCAGTGTCCGAAGAAGAATTCCATCTAAGTTATAATTTTTGCAGGAGTAAAGGAAGTATCTGCTGACCAGTGTGATCTACTGCTACCAGAAATAAAATATTAAAATGGCTGCATTCACCTAAATCATACTTTATTTGTTTAGGATTTTCTTACTGCCAGGTTGGCACATTGCTGGTGAAGGGGGATGGATGTCCACTGGTACATAAAGGTGGACACATGCCAATGAACGGAGATGGACTTCTGCTTGTGAAAGGAGATGTATGTCTGCTGGTGAATGGAGATGTACTGGTAAACAGGAATGGATGTCTGCAGGTAAATGGTAATAGATGCTTGCTGGTGAATTGTAATAGATGTCTGCAAGTAAAGAGAGAACGTCTTCTGGTGAATTGTAATAGATATCTGCTGGTGAACAGAGATGGATATCTGATGGTGAAAGGACGTGGACACCTGCTGGTGAATGGAGAAGGACGTCTACTGATAAATGGAGATGGACATCTGCTGGTGAATGGTAAGAGATGTCTGCTGGTGAAAGGGGATGGACATCTCCTGGCATTGGTAATTGATGTCTGCTGGTGAAAGAAGATGGACATCTGCTGGTGAATGGTAATAGATGTCTGCTGGTGAATGGCAATAATAGATGTCTGCTGGTAAATGGTAAGAGATGTTTGCTGGTGAATTGTAATTTATGTCTACTAGTAAAGTGAGATGGATGCTTTCTGGTGAATTGTAATAAATGTCTGCTGGTGAACAGAGATAGATGCCTGCAGGTGAAAGAAGATGGATGTCTGCTAGTGAATGGAGATGGACGTCTGCTGGTGAATGGAAATAGTGGGCTGCTAGTGAACAAAGATGGACACCCGTTGGTTAATGGTAATAGATATCTGCTGGTAAACAGAAATGGACATCTGCTAGTAAATGGTAATAAATGTTTGAGAGTGAATTGCAATAGATGCCTGCTAGTAAAAGGAGATTGATGTCTTCTGGTGAATTGTAATAGATGTCTGTTGGTTTTCTGTTGGTGAAGGGAGATGGTTTTCTGTTGGTGAAAGGAGATGGACATCTGCTGGTGAATGGTAACAGATGTCTGCTGGGTAACAGAGATGGACATCTGTTGGGGAATGATGATAAATGTTTGTTGTTGAAGGGAGATGGATGTCTTCTGGTAAAGGGAGGTGGATGTCTTTTGGTGAAGGGAGACAGACGTCTTCTGGTGAAGGAAGGTACCTTCTTGTGAAGGGAAAAATACCTTCTTGTGAAGGAAACATATGCCTTCTGTGTAAAGGGAGGTGGATGTTTTCTGGTGAATGGAGGTGAATGTCTTCTGGTGAAGGGAAATGGATGTCTTCTGGTGAAGGTAGATAAACATTTTTGATGAAAGGAGGTGGACGTCTTCTGATGAAGGTAGATAGACGTCTTTTGGTGAAGGGAGGTGGATGTCTTCTGGTGAAGGGAAATGGATGTCTTCTGGTGAAGGGAAATGGATGTTTTCTGGTGAAGGTAGATAGATCTCTTTTGATGAAGGGAGGTGGACATCTGCTGGTGAAGGTAGATAGATGTCTTTTGGTGAAGGGAGATAGACGTCTTCTGGTGAAGGGAGATGGATGTCTTCTGGTGAAGGGATATGTTTTCTGGTGAAGGTAGATAGACATCTTTGATGAAGGGAGGTGGACATCTTCTGGTGAAGATAGATAGACGTCTTTTGGTGAAGGGAGATAGACGTCTTCTGGTGAAGGGAGATGGATGTCTTCTGGTGAAGGGAAATGGATGTTTTCTGGTGAAGGTAGATAGACATCTTTTGATGAAGGGAGGTGGACATCTCTTTCTGGTGAAGGTAGATGGACATCTTCTGGTGAAGGGAGACGTCTTTTGGTGAAGGAGGTGGACGTCTTCTGGTGAAGGGAGATGGACGTCTTCTGGGAAGAGAGGTGGATGTCTTCTGGTGAAGGGAGATGGGAGTCTGCTGGTGAACAGTAAAAGGTGTGTGCTGGTGAAATGGAGACAGACATGCTGGAGAATGGCTGAGGACCAGCTTATGGGCTTGTCCACACGAGCACGTTTTGGTAACCTATGCTCCTTTAATGTGTGTTGAGATAGGCAGCTCATTCATTTTGAATTAGCTGCCAATGTATCAAATGCACTAAACAAGGAAATCCTGCAATTTTTACAACTGTATGACCAAAATCCTACATGGACATGAACCTGTGCTGGGATATGCTATCTGTTCTGTGTGTACTGCACATTAATAACTAGTAAGGATGAGCAGTGGGAGTCACTACTGGAGCAGATGTTGAACCGCTTTTGGACATCCTAAGGAGAAGTTTGGATTTGGATTAAAAATACAAAGCAAAAAGAGTGTTTTTTCCTCAGGGGTCAAAAGGTGACAGCATGAGCCAACCTGACTGCTGGGCAGGGCAGACACTTCTATGCGGCGGACACTTTAGATACATCCTACATGCTAACCAAGGAGGACACCTCCCACAGGTAGAGAGTGAAGCCACAAAAACATCAATGGATAATTACAGATCACACACACAGCATACTCAGATGTTATAAATGTTTATTGTACATTTCGGAGCACTGACAAGCATCAGCAATAGTCTCTCATGCGGTCTTATCTGTTAATAAAATACATCTATATTTCCTGTGAGGGTTTCAGCACCAACAATTTAGAAGCACCATTGTGTTCTGGTCCTACACTTAGAAAGTTCAACTTTATTAGATTGATTGTCACCAAAATATTATAAAATAACGTTTCATTTCTATTATTATATTTATTTCACAGCAAAAAGAAAGCATGTACCTAAAATATATCACACTGAAAGGTTCAGTCTGCTTGATAGAAATTCCTCAGTTAGGGGTGCACCTAGGCAGCTAGGATCACCTACAGTCCTCTTACAGCTCTTGGACATTTCAATGAGATCTCCAAAGCAGAATTATTAGCTCCACCTACACCACAGACTCCTCCCACTACAATAATAGTGGCAGATCTAGAAATGTAGGTGCTGAGATCTTGATGAGTCCCCGAGTCTAGGTTCGCACTCGTGTGGTGTGGGACACCGCATGGGATTCGCACAGTAATCGCACCGCAGTCCTGTGTACATCACATGCGATGTCTGTGTGGTGCAGTTTGAGGCATAATTTTGTATGGCGCATATCACATCGCAGCCGCACCAAAATGGTGCAGGACCTTTTTTTTCCCCAAATATGATTTGCATCGCATGGCAATGGCAATCACACTGCGTTTTGTAATGTTTTGTCATTAATTTAACATTGACACCTGCAGCAGATCGCATGGAAGCCGTGCGATTGCAATGCAGCGCGGGAAAAGCACAGGATTCGCTGCGTTTCCGAATCTCATTAGTGTGAACCAGGACAGAGCAATATAAGAAGCCTGTGAGTGATTCTACCACCAGCACCCACTCAGATCTGAAATATTAAAGCATTATTAAACCTAAAACAAAAAATGTAACATATCGCAGCTTACCAGTTATTAGATGTGCTGGCTGCATTAGTTTTCTTTTTTAGGCTTTATTTCACCTGGTGATCTGGCCAATAACACACCTCCTGCATTAGTGATACACCACTCTGGATGAATGAGTACAGGAGGCACAACAGACAACAGCAGTGTCAGTCTGGGGGAGGGGAATGTTAAATGTTCCAGCAGATTTAAATACAATAACAAATTAAAGCCAAACCCCAGGTCACACTTTATAATTAGTTACTGCAATCAGTTGTTTTGTTTCCTTTTGGTAAAAAGGTTTTAAATGAATAAATAAAAGCTCATCATTGTAAGCACCCCTGCCAGTGTTGAATGACTTGTCTCATCCATGTAAACTGATACGTCCTGCTGGAGAGCTTGAACGTCTGAAACATAACAGAGTCGCTAGCTGGATCACCAGATGAAAGTAGAAAAAAGAAAGTCTAAAAGAAGAAAACTAATGCAGCCATCACATCTAAGAATTGTTAAGTTGCAGTATAATATATGTTTGCTTTTGGGTTTAATACTGCTTTCATTTTTAGTGGATTCATCTTTTAAGGGCTACAAAATATATCTATATGTGTCAGTTTCAAGGAATTCGTAGGACTTATGTTATCTATCTATCTATCTATCTATCTATCTATCTATCTACCTTAAATATGAGTAGCTCTTTAATAAACAATCTATAAAATAAGTTAAATTATCTTTTCACTATGTATCTAAAGCCAATTTTTTTTTTTCGTTTCATATAAAGCCCCTCTTTGGATTTTTTTTGTGTGTGTGTCTCATTGGGGGGCTTATTCTTCACTTCCTGTCTCAGAGGCACTACAGGAAGTAAGAAGAAATCCCTCTTAGGCAGGTGTCACCTGAAAAGATGTGAAATCAGAAGTTTCTCTATTTCTGTGCTGGTGACCAGGGGCAGACTGACAACTCATGGGACCCCCAGGCAATAGGGGATCATGGGGCCCCTGTGTCCTTGCCCAAACTCAAAAAAGCCTATGAAAAAGGTACCAGGGGCATCTCATGGGGCCCCCTACTGACCCTGGGCCCTCGGGCAGGGCCTGAGTTTCCAAATGGTCAGTCCGCCCCTGCTGGTGACAACTGTAGAATGTTCCCTTCGCATTCTGTCCCAGTGATAAGTGTCACCAGGACAAAATAAAGGGGTGAATCTCTCCAGTGGGGACACAAATGACAAGAAAAACCTGACATAAGTTCTAACGCTTCCACATTTCAACCCAAAACTAAAACCAAAGTTATTGTTACACCCTCTGTCTTAGAATGTAAAACATCAGCACACTTTAGAACGTACAGTCCTAAGACCATACACCGCTCCATGTTGGCCTGCTCCAATTGTTTAACCCCAAATGAATCAGGTGCTGGTCCAGCTTGTAGCGTGAAACATTGAACATAAAGGTTGGAGGACCGCGCACCGACAGCAATAAGATCCATAAAATTTAGTTTCAAAGATCAAGAAGATCCAAACAACAAAACGGGGTAAAAAGCAAGCGTTGACGCATTTCACACCAACAAGCTCCTAATCATAACACATTTGTTGGC